CCCATTGAAACAATGGTTTCGGTTAACGAACTTTTCGGTTAACGAACGACCTTCTGGAACGGATTGAGTTCGTTAACGGAGGGGTCACTGTATATGCTTTCTTCAGATAGGTTAACATACAGGTGATACTTGCTTGTTGAAGGTATTGGATCATCTTTACGGAGTGAAGAGGCAGCCGTGGTGGGGCGTGAGGAGACAGCAATGGGGGACTTGTAAAATATATGTCCAATTTAGACTGAACAGTTTGCTTTTTCTTTTCAAAGTAAATTTCCCTGTAGCAAGCAAGTCCATCTTGGATCATTCTGTCAACTTTTGCAAAATGCTCAACATTTTGATCCATTTTGTCAAACATTTGCATCCCCTTAGTAATAGTAGCAAATGCCTCTGCCATTTGTTTCATTGAAAATTTTTGGTGGGTGCAGGTTCTTCTTCTACATTTTGATTCTCTTCTTCCTCTGCAATTTTCTCTGCATCCAGTTCAATAAGATCCTTGTTACTTAGCTTTCCTGCTACACTTTCCACCAACTGCTCAACATCTTCATGATCAATTTCTAACTCCAGCTGATTACCCAACTCCACTATCTTGTTACTCAGAAATTGCTTCATCTTCATTAAATCCTTTGAAACTGTTTACATATCTTTTCAGGACTTTCTTCCATATTCCATTCATGCACTGACCTGTAACCTCATCCCATGCTGCAGCTATGTTCTTTATACATTTCAAAATGTTGTAGTCCTTCCAAAACTGTCTGAGCGTTTTCTCACCTTCAGTAGCAGCAACAGCCTGAGTGAAGGTCGTACGTAAATAATAAGCTTTAAAAGCAGCAATAGCACCTTGATCCATGGGTTGGATGACAGAGGTAGTGTTAGGTGGAATGTACACTACCTTAACATCAGGGTGCATGTCGTCCAAGTGTGGTGGGTGTCCCGGAGCATTATCTAAAATTAATAAAATCTTGAACGCAACCCCTTGTTGCATACAATACTCCTTGGCTCGTGGAATGAAACGACTCGGGAACTAATCCTCAAACAGTACTAGGGTCATCCATGCTTTCTTATTACTGCTATAAAACACTGGCAGTGTGTGCTTGCTGACATGTTTAAAAGCCCTTGGGTTCTCTGAATGATATCTTGAAACCAGCTACATTCCTTCCCCAACTGAAGTGTGATTCGGTCCTTGAATGCCTTGAATCCCGACATGCTTTTCTCTTTTTTGTGGATATATGTCCGTTTTGGCATGCGCTTCCAGAATAATCCAGTTTCATCCACATTAAATATTTGCTCAGGCAAATAATTTCCCTCCGCGATGACATGATCTAGCTCCTCCTTAAAAGCTTCGGCAGAACCAACATCAGCACTTGCTGTTTCTCCACTCACCTTTACACTTTGCAAACTTTAACATTTCTTAAACTTTGGAACCACCCATGACTTGCTGTGAAGTTTTGGTCGCACTCATCACCTGCCTGCTCTTTCATGCTTTCTAAAAGGCTTCTTGCCTTAGCCTCTATGGTTAGAAGGGTTAATGGTACATGCTTTGGTATCTGATTTTCCATCCACACCACAAGTAATTTTTCCATCTCATGAATAGGATCCTTAACTTTTTTCCCTTATTATTGTTCCCTTTATAGGTGCTGATCCTTTCACTACCTCACGAATTTGTTTCTTGTCCTTAAAAATTGTCGATATCGGCGAGTGCGAGAAGCCTCGGTCGCGTGAAATGGTTGCTACCGGTTTTCTATTTTCATATTGCATTATTATTTTCATTTTCATCTCAAAAGTAATTGACTGTCTGCTCTGCTTCTGAGCACCACCAGAACTCTCACTTCTACGCTTGCCAGTCATTCTGAAGTGAATTAGAAACTAAAATATTGTCAGTACACAGCGCAATCACTACCGACAACATCGACAGCCAAACACCAACTGAGCGAGCAACTGCGTGGACGCTGTACACCACGAGGTGACCCAGCCTACGGGACACTCGTACGGGACGGAAGCATTTCGGTCCTAGAAAATACGTTCGGAGTTTGAAAAATATTTGGTACGACTGAGGCGGTCGTATGCCGGGTAGGTTGTAAGTCGAGGACTCTGTGTGTGTGTAATAATAATAATAATAATAATAATAATAATAAACAGTTTATTGAACAATTCTGCAGCTCGAAGGCTGAAAATAAACATTGGACATAAATGACTTATTACATACATTGGTGGTTTAAGAAAAGCCTTCATTAGAGAAAGGTGAAGGAACATATACAGTGAACATACAGATTAATGTTTACACACGTAGATCATGTAAGCTGAGGTGTTGAACAGCAGACACGTAGTGTAGTAACTCCCTCACAGATGGTGTTACGAGGGGCCTGATGATGTAGTAGTTACCTCACAGATGGTGTTATGAGGGGCCTGATGTGGTGTAGTAATTCCCTCACCGATGGTGTATGAGGGGCCTGATGTGGTGTAGTAATTCCCTCACAGATGGTGTTATGAGGGGCATCACATGGCGTAGTAATTCCCTCACAGGTGGTGTTATGAGGGGCCTGATGATGTAGTAATTCCCTCACAGATGGTGTATGAGGGGCCTGATGTGGTGCAGTAATTCCCTCACAGATGGTGTTATGAGGGGCCTGATGTGGTGTAGTATTCCCTCACAGATGGTGTTATGAGGGGCCTGATGTGGTGTAGTAATTCCCTCACAGATGGTGTTATGAGGGGCCTGATGTGGTGTAGTAATTCCCTCACAGATGGTGTTATGAGGGGCCTGATGTGGTGTAGTAATTCCCTCACAGATGGTGTTATGAGGGGCATCACGTGGTGTAGTAATTCCCTCACAGATGGTGTTATGAGGAACTTCACATGATGCTGTAGCAACTCATTCACTATGTGGTGTCGTAGCATCATGGGGACACCACGTGGTCAGTTGTCACAGGACTTCACTCACTCAAGTGGGTGAGGTGTGGTCCCAGGCTTCTCTATCGTGGAGTCTCAGGGGAATTATCACTGGGTACCTGGGACCTCACTGTGTGAAGGTTAGCTTGGGTAAGACTCAACTGCCGAGTTGTTTTTCACTGACTTAAGCACTGTTCACCACTATTCAACACTGGTTCCATTCCTTTCCCAAATGAAATTGTAACTTCTGGCGAGAACTTGTTGATATTCCGGTGGGGAGGAGGGTTCAGGGGAGGGAGTTGGTATGGGCCAACATAACAGTTGACGTGGCTGCTGCTGAGCAGTACCAGGTGCGTCTGACCCGTCTTGACCCGTCGGTGTGTGTGTGTGTGTTTTATACTGTACAATAATAAATAAAAAACAATAGAATACTTACTTTGAGGTGTGTGTCGTATTACCGGCATGAAACAGCTAATTGTAGAGGCAGTCGATGATGACATGCCATATTCTTTACAGAGTGCATTGGTTCTAATGCCTTCTTCATGTTTCATACTAACTTCTGCACTGTATATTATCAATATGTTAACTAAATTTCAGAATGACCAATAATTTTAATGTAAAAATGCAAAAATATTCAAGAGACCAACAAAATCAATGTTCACTCCACTGTAAACAAAGTTAAACTGAGAATTCTTTTTGGGTGATTCAATCATCTGATGGGTGCAAAAAACCTGTTCCCTGTACTGTCTATATTATCAATATGTTAACTAAATTTCAGTGTGACCAATAATTTTAATATAAAAAATGCAGAAATATTCAAGAGACCAACTTTCTTGATATTTACTCCACTGGAAACGAACGTAACCATAGAACCAATTACTGTATTGGCGGACTAGCCGATCACCTGATGCGCACAACAAAACTTGTTTGTCGTAAGGATTTCGTTAATCAAAGTTTTGTTCGTTAATGGAACTGAAAATTCTTATGGGAGCTAATTCGTTAACCGAAATTTCGTTAATCGAACCTTTTCGTTAACCGAGGGACCACTGTAAATGCCATTATTGATGAGCTTTAAGGGCTGTGCTGAAGATGGAAGTCAGTACACAAGACCCAATTAATTGCCTAGTCTAGGTGGCAACAAACATATCACCATTTGGTGTAGTTGCCAGAGTAGTTATAGTGTGGTATCATTTAAGGACTTTAAAATTGTTCATATCTTTGTGAAAAGTTAAGATTTTGGGGGTTAATTTTTTTTTGACATCTAGGAACACATCTTACTAGTTAGATTTGTGAATTTTGATAACCATAGGAGTTTTCAAGAATGTATTCCCCATGTTTATTGAGTTAATGGAAACTGTAAATTATATTAATTTCTTTTGCATATTATCCAGGATATGGAAGTGGTGGTATGGCAGATGGATATTTTACTGAGAGACTCGTTGGCCACATGTAGACAACCACCACACTGTTGAATATCTTAAAAAAGTTCCAAGGATGACTGGGTGAAGATTGTTGTATATCATATGGTTTATTTACACGTGCTACTGAAATATTGTTCCCCACATCACTGTAATAGTGTGTTTGTGTTCCTTAGGTCACCTTTTAAAGGACTGTAGGCCATAAAAGTTATTTTCTGATACCGTCACCAACCAGCTTTACACACACAACTTGGATTAACACTGCCAAGAGTGCACAACCACCGTTAAACCTGAGTTTCCTGGAGCTTAATTTTATCAATTATTTTTTCTCCTATCTGATTTTTTTAAATCCATGATGAATCCTGATTTTCATAGTCAAGTATTTTGCTAAGTAATTCACATTAATTTCTTTAAATATATTGCATAAATAACTTTGATTATCAAATTGGTGTCCTAATATTTGAATTATGGTGACTGTTATTTCTTAACTACCACTTGTATTTGTCAGAGTTTGCATGTACAGTACTGTATATGAGGTGAACTCTTATTGTTAGTGGCAGCTGATGAAGTTTTTGGGGGCATTATGACTGGCATCTCTGCTTTAGCATGTGTACTTTCAGGATGTATATTTATCCTGTTTTATTATAAGATGAAATATAAACCTGCAATTTATAGCTTCATCACTCCATTTCTATACAGGCCAGTAGTGCAGCAAGCCGCAAGCCAAGTGACTATGAGTTGTTGACCTTAGAGCACGTAGCAGGCATGACAGACAACTTGCTTGTTAAGCTGTTTGCTGAGTTTGAGTCCAACGAAATGTGGAAAAGGTTCACATATACCTGTGGCATGCTTCCTGCGGCTTGCTCCAAATACTTCCAGAGCTTTGGTAGTGAGCACAAAGCACGAGCAGGCATGAAGTCTCATCTTCAAACTCACCTTAAGAGTCTCATGGAGGTCCATAAAAGTAAGTACAGTACTGTAACATTTCTAGATTTGAACTCAAGTCAAACATATAGGATCCATTGCTGGAGTATCACAATGTGTAGGTTAATGTTTATGTATTTCCACTATACTTTGTCTTTTAGTCAAGGCCATGTGGGGAACATACGGTAAAACCTCGATAAATTGGACTTCAGTACATTGGAATTCGCTTTTTCTGGATTCTGGTCACCAGAAATACTAAAGAAAAAATAATAAAAATACTGAATACTGTACAATGGTCTAATGTGATTTGCTATAGGCCTACTGAGAACTAAGACACTTGAGTATGTAAGCAGGCTGAGGCTGATCAGGTGTTGCCACGTTTGTCAGGTTTATTGATTCAGTATTATATTCTCATGATTGGCCTCTTATGGTTTATGGTTCATCATGATTAATATAACATGATGCATTCATGTGAGAGCTTTCAGCAGACCAGCTTACAACAGGGGTCACTGTAACACACTGTATAGGATCTGATATGAAGATACCTTCATAAAAACTTTATTTACTGCCTTTGAGTGTTACGTAAGGACTCAGTTTGGCTACTTGTAGAATTAGACAAATGATTAATGAGTAAACCAGGGTATATGCAGATACTTAATACTTTACCCGATAATATTACTTATTAAGTGATGATAGATACACTACAATAGTATTTATTAAGTGGTGATAAATACACAACTGTACTGTACTAATTTACTAAGCCGATCAGCTGTTTGCTCTTTGTAAACAAATGAGTATGAAATGAGGCATGTTCAGTGTGGGTTTCTTTTTTCAGAAAAGTTGATTCTTTTGGGATAATATTTTATCATCCTCGCACCAAATGAGAATTATAGTGAAAGTTAATAAAGAAATGTTAAAGGAATTTTTGGGGAGAGATGGGAAGGGAGCCATCCACCTATGCTAACCCCATCCCCTCTGCCAGCTGCTCCCAGATAAACACTCGTCTTCCACATACAATATATACTACGTTTATTTGTTCTTATTTTTATCTTTATAGTGCTGTACAGTATACAGATTTCTCTTTATTCATAAAACAGATTCTGTGGTTACTTACGTATAACACTTTACAGCAAATAACAATCTCGGTGTAAACAGTTCTTGACAACCAGACTTAAGTGTGATTCTCAATCCAGAGAGTTAGTTCTGTTTCACATTTTTTTATTGTTGATATAATATTCTTTTAATAATCTTGTTCTACATTAAAAGACCTTAGTTGTTGAGTGTAGTACATAATAACATAACTGATTTTCTTTAAACAGTTCAGATAAACAAGTGTTATTTTTCGGACTGGGGTCTTGCCCAATTAGTCTGATTTATCGAGTTTCTACTGTACTTGTGTAAAGTCCTGGGACTTAGGGATAGAAATCCCTTGCCATCCTAATCAGGATCTTATAAATGGAAAGTCAAGAACCATGGTTTTCCGAGGGATAACAAACAACCGTTTGAGATTGACATCTCTTTACTATAAAAATAACACAAAACTCTGACACCACTCAAACAAACATCAAAAAACAATTAGGGAGTAAAACAATTATGAGAATCAAACAATTAATGGAGTCAAACAGTTAAGGGAATCAAACAATGAACAGATATTTCCTACGGTAGTGCCCCTGGGGAAGGTTTTGGAAAGCAGTGATCCACTCTCAGGGGGGGAGGTCAAGTCAGCTTCCTCACTCGAGCGAAGGCCGATGTCTTGCTACACAGGAGAAACACCGGGGCACAGACGGTGAAGAGGAACTGGCGATGACGTGGCAGCCGTGGTACAGGTTGACAACCCTTTATCCGAAATTCCGAAAACCGAAAAGTTCTAAAAACCGAAAGTTTTTTGTGGGGCATTTTTTTTTATTTATTTTTTTTTATTTTTTTTATTTTTTTTAACAGGGATTATTAGCCCAGCCAGGCACAGATCACTGACCCACATCGGGGCCTGGGGGGCAAAAATGTAATAGTAATAATAATTATAATACAGTGGGGTATGCTATAACGAATCTAATTGGTTCTAGAACCTTGTTTGTTATAGCATTCGTTCGTTATAGGATTAATCCGTTCCAGGCCCCCAAATACAACCACTTAACACTGAAAAATATAATATTAAATTGTAAAAAATTGCATAAATATGCATCTAAACCCTTGAAATAAAGAATATCATTAATACTTGTAATACAGAAACAATAAATTAGTAAAAAAAAAAAAAAAAAAATTATAATGTTCGTTGTAGGAGTTTCGTTCGTTATAGCATTATCAATTTTATAGGTAAAACCGTTCGTTATAGGAATATTCGTAGTAGGATCCGTTCGTTATAGCATACCCCCCTGTAATAATAATTATTCATAGTAAATAAAAATTTTAATAATTATACACCAAAATAAAATAATGATTACAATAATAATAATAATAATAATAATAAAATATAATAATAAAATTAATAATAATAATAATAATAACAATAATACTGTAATAATAAAATAATAATGCAGTAAAGAAATACAAGAATGAAAAAAAGATCAAAAGTGAGAAACACGACCTAGACCTATGAATTATTATTATTATTATTATAATTTTTATTATATTTTAGACCCCCAGGCCCCAATGTGAGTCAGTGATCTATGCCCGGGTGGGCTAATAAAAAAAAAAACTAATTTCTGAAAACCGAAAAATTCCGAAAACCGAAATGCCTCTGGCCCCAAGGATTTCGGATAAAGGATTGTCAACCTGTGGTAGCTGGGGTAGGTGTCCAGAGATTGACAGTCGATTTATGAAGGTCTGGGGAAACAGCCCACAAGTCTAGGACCTATAATGAGAACACAACCAGAATTTGGACGAGCAGCGGGGAGGTGTATCTGTGGTGCTACGTGGGTAGTGTCTGCCGGTGTCACAAGGCAGCAGCGACCTTCTCACCTCCGTCTACCCCCCCCCACCCCCCAAGTGGGGGACTCGAACTAGCAAGCGGGCGGCAAACAATCTTCCTGCTCGTTGCCGCCCTTACACAGCTCCCCCAACAAAAATCTACTGTAAGGTAGATTAAAACTTAAGATTAGTACACAAAGCATAATCATCTTACAACAAATGCTTAAATACACATAGCAAAATGAAGAAGGGTCACATAAATGAATAGGTGGAAACTTGATGTCCAAAACGTAAGGCCGTATCAAGGAACTGCACGTGGGTTCCACTTCAGTCCAGGTTTAAGTTTGGGCCTATTTCCAGTCGTAGAGGATTCTTCTATCCCGTCAGGTGTTATCAGTAACTGGCAACCGAGATCATCCGAGTCTGGCGCCTGAACTTCACAGGAACTCTTGCAGGGTAGTGCCTCGATTGACTCCAGCTTGGGAACGTTGTCAAGAACACAAGCAATGTGGGTCCTGCAATTATATTTCCTTAACAAGCCTGATGTAATTTAGGCTTCTTAGAGGAAGGGGGTGAGAACGGTCCAGCAAAATCTATGGCTATCCGAGAAGATGGTTCTGTAATGACGGGTAAGAGTTCAAGTGGAACAGGACGGACTCTACCCTTGGCGGACATACGTGGGCACTGATCACAACTCCTACAAAAAGCTCTCATATCCGCCCCATACCTGGACAGTAAAACTGATCAGCAACCTTCCTATAAGTTTTCCTACGAGAACAGTGACTTGCTAGAGGGCTCTCGTGAGCTACAGAGATAATGTTACTACGTCAACCAGCAGGGACAACAAGTAAAAACCGACCTACTTTGGCTGGTCGCTTGGATGACACACAAGACCTGTGTACCAGACCATTAATGGAAACAAACTTGTAAGCTGACCCATCTCTCACCTGATCCTCCTCCCCGGAAGTCACCTTCTCCCTTACCCGCGTCAGAGTGGTACACGAGGCTTGAAGCTTGGCGAAATCCTTGGGCGTCACAGTCAGTGGCAACAAATTCGGCAGAATCAAGGGATGCAGTTGTTTCACCTTTTCCGACCGTGTCTCCACAGCTAGGACCTTGGTTGGAGGTGTGGTGGTGTGTGAGGGTGGCGAGGCGACGTGGGCAGGTGGAGAGGAGACTGGTGCTGGTGGCGAGGAGAGTTTTAAAGGTTCCGGGTCGTTAGGGTCACGAACACCGGGAACATTACCATTGAGAACACTAGTGAATTTAATGGGAGCTCTTACCACATTAGACCAACCAGTGAAATAGGGGCAACGCAGGTAGCACCTAACAACAGGGAGCTGGTCAACACGACCTAAATAATCGGCGACACTAACCTTCGGGCAGCTGGAGATGTCAGCTTCAGGCAGGGCTTCTTCAGAGACAATAATGCACGAGCAACCGGTGTCCCTGATGAAAGTAGATGCCCAAGACCCATTTATTGTTCCGCCGACACAATAACGGAGGTAGCTCCTGTCTTCCAAACAGAATCCGACCTTGTAGCTGGGCTGATGAGTGTCAGTAGATTTGAAGGCGCGGGGATTCCTGGGACAGCGAGAACGAATGTGCCCTTCTTCTCCGCAGTTGTGGCTCTGCACGGCCGGTGAACTACTCCTCTCTACTCCTGGGGATGGTTCCTCGGAGGACGGAGGCTTCGTTAAATCCTAGCAAGAGAGCTTGCTTCAACAAAGAGTAATCTCTAGTGATGTCGGCAGACAGGGACGTATAAATTTCTACCGGTTTACCACTCGGTAGGCTACCCAACCTTACAGCATAGCTATCTTGGTCCACACCAAGCAGCTCGGCACCTGTCAGACCCAGGGCCAAGCAAGATGTTACCTCTACTGACCAGAGATACAAACTGACGCCTGTTTGGTGAGTTGAGTGGCTGTTTGGCGCACTAAAAACTAGTTGCCTGTACAGTACTTCAATAATGTAAAATAATTTTTAAAATGACTAAAAAATTTAATATAAAACTTGGAAAATTATTGAATAGTACAACCTTCTTGATATTTACTCAAATGGGAATGAATTTAAGCCCTAGAACCGATTACTGTATTGGCGTGCAAGCGAAAACATGTTGAGAGGAATTCG